TCCCAAACTCTAGATTCCCAACAATTCCTAACTCCAGATCCCAAAAGATTCCAAACCCTGGATCCCAAAAGATTCCAAATGCCAGATTCCCAAAAATGCCAAACTCAGGATTGCCAAAGATTTCAGACTCTGGATTCCCAAAAATTTCGAACTCCGCATTCCCAAAGATTCCAAACTCCACATTCCCATTTTATCCAAGCTCCAGATTCCCAAAGATTCCAAACTCCACATTCCCAAAAATTCCACACTCCACATTCCTAAAAATTCCAAACCCCAGATCCCCAAAAATCCCAAACTCTGGATTTCCAAAGATGCCAAACTCGAGATTCCCAAAAATTCAATCTTCAGATTCCCAAATATTCCAAAACCCAATCCCAAAAGATGCAAAACTCAAGATTCCCAAAGATTCCAACTCTGGATCCCAAATGATTCCAAACTCCAGATCCCCAAAAATCCCAAAGCCCAGAGTCCCAAAAATTCCAAACTTCAAATTCCCAATAATTCCAAACTCCAGATCCCCAAAGACTCCAAATTTTGGATTCCCAATGATTCCAAACCCCAGATTCCCAAAGATTCCAAACTCTGGATCCCAAATGATTCCAAATCCCAGATTTCCAAAGATTCTAAGCTCCATATTCCAAAAGACTCCAAACTCTGGATTTCCCAAAGATTCCAAACCCCAGATTCCCAATGATTCCAAACTCTGGATCCCCAATGATTCCAAATTTTGAATTCCCAAAGATTCTAAACTCCACATTCCCAAAGATTCCAAACCCTGGATCCCCAAAGACTCGAAAGCCCAGATCCCCAAAAATCCCAAACTCCAGATCCCCAAAGATTCCAAACTCCACATTCCCAAAAGATGCCAAACCCTGGATCCCCAAAGACTCGAAAGCCCAGACCCCCAAAAATCCCAAACTCCAGATCCCCAAAGATTCCAAACTCCACATTCCCAAAAGATGCCAAACTCGGGATCCCCAAATGATTCCAAACTCCASATTTCCAAAGATTCCAAACACCAGATTTCCAAATGATTCCAAACCCCAAATTCCAAACTCTGAATCCTCAATGATTCCAAACACCAGTTCCCAAAAATCCCAAACTCCAGATCCCCAAAGATCCCAAACCCCATCCTTCCTATTTTCTCTGTGGATTCAAGAACCCCCGGCCCCAACCACCTCAGCCCAAATATTCCCAAAAATCAGATTCCCAAACCCCAGTGCACCCCAGTTTGAAAGCACACGGGGGATTTTCCCAGGGAACAAGGAAAAATGGGAAAATTCAGGGAAAARCCTCGTGGAGGACACGGATACTCACCCGTGATCCTCCAAAAAGGAAAAGCTTTCCCCRGTGGAGAACAGAGTTGCGAAAATATTGATTTTCATAAAGGTGCAATATTCCCTCAACCTCTCCAGGGGCTGGCTGCACCACACCTCACAGATATCAACTCCTGAGAGGGAAAAAACAAAAAAAAATGGAATTARAGTGCACAATTTGGGCATTCCAGAGTGCAAATAAATATTAAAATCAAAGATTTTTGGCTGATTCTGTTCCTGACTAAAGAAAATTGGGGATTGGAATGTTCTGAAATCACATGGCACCTGGAAGGGGGAAGAGAGAATTAGGTAGATTAAATTTATCAATATATTGATAAAAACTAAATATATGCCAAGTATTATTATATTGATAAAAATTAAATCTATACAAAATATTATTATTTTGATTAAAAAYAAATATATTGTGTAATATATATTATATATTAATGTATTAAAGCCCACCTGCTGGCAGGTTTTGCATTGTTGTGTTCTGAACTGGATTGGTGAATTAAGATAAAAATGAATAAAAGAGGAAAAAGAGGGAAAAGGAGGGAAAAGGAGGGAAAAAGAGGGAAAAAGAGGGAAAAAGAAAAAAAGAGAAAGAAAAACACAGAGAGAAAAACAGAGAAAAAGAAAGAAAAGAGAGAGAAAAAAGAGGAGGAAAAAAAGTGAGAAAAAAGAGGAAAAAGAGGAAAATAGAAAAAAAGATGAAAAAGGAGGGAAAAGTAAGTAAAAATAGGAAAAAAGAGAAAAAAGGAGAAAACAAGGAAAAACAAGGAAAAACAAGGAAAAACAAGGAAAAACAAGGAAAAACAAGGAAAAACAAGAAAAAACAAGAAAAAAACAAGAAAAAAACAAGAAAAAAACAAGAAAAAGAGAAAAAAGAGAAGAAAAAGAGAAAAAAAACCCAAATAAAAACAAATAAAAACTCCATGAGGAGCTCACAGGAGCTGCTGAGTGGCAGGATGGAGGAGAATTAAATGTGAATTGGGCCACTGAGGCAGCTTCAGGTGCTCAAAAAGAAATTAAAAGGAAAATTCAGTTTATTGGGGTGGCTTCAGGGTCTCTCAGAGCAGGGCAGCATCCCCTGAGGGGCTGAAAAGGTACAAAAATTCCCTTTTCACYGCTCTTTGTCTGTCTATTCCCACAAATTCCAGGTTTTTCTTTCTTTATTCCCACRAATTCCAGGTTTTTTTTTCTTTATCCACATAAATTTCAGGTTTGTGCAGCAAATCCAGCTTCGAAGGGCTTGAGCCACCTGCTTTCMTGCAACTGTGAAATCTTTTATGAATTAGTATTTCAAATCCTTCCCTGCAAAAAAAAATCAACYTTAAATTGTCTTTAGACCTCCAGAGTTAAAACCAGCCTCAAACCTCCATCGTTRCAAATATGTAAATATTACTGATTATTTAAATCAGGAGAAAAGAGAATTGAGAATAGAGAAATTGAGAATTGAGAAATTGAGAAATGTTTCAGGGTAACAGAATGTAGCAATGCTTCTGCTAAGAAATAACAATCTCCTGTTATTCAGGCAAAAGAAGAAAAAAAAAAAACCCAAACAGCAATCAAAAAATGCCATAGCAATGTCAGAATATTGGTTTGGTTTCCATACCTGTTTTAGGATTAGGCAGAACTGGCTGTCCAGAGGTTTCATGACCCTAAAGGCAAACACAGGATTTAATCTGGCAGAGCCAAAAAGCAAACACAGAACCCAAATCCAGGAACAAAGGAAGCGTTTTGTTTAAAAAAAAAGGAATAATTATTTACCTGTAAATCTGTTACAAAAATGTCCATGGGTTAATAGCAATGAATGGACAAGAAAACTTTTACTCATTTAAATAATATTTTTAATCCCACTACAACAGGATTCTAGAAGTTAATAAAATTCAAAAATCAGGCAGCAAAATAATGTTCAAGAGTACCTGACTAAATATATTTAAGAAAACAACACAGCTTAAAAAAAWWAWWAAAAAWWWTWAAAAAAAAGTTTTGAAAATGTACATTTAAATTAAAAAAAAATCTATATCAAAGTAAGTGGGGTAGTTGATTTAGTATTTTGTGTTACTTTTCAGGTTTAAACCCTACATGAGCACCCCAGGCTGAAGAATAAATGATTTATTCTGATTTACTGGTCCATACAAAGTCTGTTATTTCCACAAAGATTGTAAATGTCATTGAATGGACACTGTGTATCACAGGAAATGCTGTTTTATCATTTCACAGAAATGCAGAGCTGGTTCTAAATTAGAAAATTGATATATTTAACAGGGCAGGGCACACAATAACAAAGAGTGAAAAAAAAATC